TGTCTTTTTCCACAGGCAGTTCTATCCTGATAACATAACCAAAGGACACAAGGTAAAGTCTTGCCACCCTTGCTTCCAAGGAACATTCTGGCTATACTTATTCCAAGGCAGAGTTATTTGTTCTTTTAGAAGTTCATGGTATTTTCAACTTTCTTTTCCAGTACCATAACACAAATGCATTGATTCTTCTTCAGTCTTCTTTATTCAATATTCACATGCAAAGGGATTTGAAATGCCATGGCTTGGGTCAGGTGCTCCTTAGTCCTCAAAATAACATAATTGCTCTTCAACACTTCAAAGATATCTTGTGCAGCTTATCTCCCCAATTCACATCATTTGATCTCTTGACTGCTGCTTACATGCTTATTTGGGATCCAAGCAGAATGAATCCTTCGCAACTTCAATCTTTTCTTCAATTATCATGATGTTACTTATTGGTCTAGTAGTGGGGATTTTGTTTCTTTAATTGAGTTGTAATACATATTGAAGGCTGCAATCCTTGATCTTCATTGTGTTAGACAGGGTTCTCTGGAGAAACAAAACCAGGACACATATGATTATATATATATATTCAAATCTATATATATGCTATATATATAGCATGCAGGAATATAGCACACAGCAGGAAAGAGGGCTTAGTTCAACTCACTTTTGTGGAACAGTTAATATACTGGAAGTCCTTCAACTCACGAGGGCTGCTCAATCCAAGGTCAAGGGAGCAAACAGCTGAGTCTTCTGTAGAGCAATGCAGGCAGTCTGTCCCTAGGCAGTAAACAGCAAGGCAGGTCACCAACAGTCAGTCAGATGACAGGATCTGACAGTCCCAAGCTCAAGCAATGTATACACCAGCAGCATGGTGAAGCAGGTCTCAATGGAACCTCAAACTCTAGTGACAAGCTCCACAGGTTGGGTGTTCCATGGGTAGTGTAACTTGCAAGCTAAGGCAGAGAACTAGCTAACGCAACCGCATGCTGGTCCCATCACCTGAGAGTAAGAGAGAGACCAGCGGAGTTTTCCAAGCCATTTATCTCTTTGCCCTCCAAGTAAACTGTGACCTTATTAATCCCACATGTTCCTATTGGCCAGGTTGGCACAATAAACTTATCACATCCATCAACAAGCGTTTCAACTTCTCCTCACTTCAGCAAATAGGAGGTGCCATGTGCATATCACAAGTTTTTAATGACCTCTAATCCTGATGCTGCATCCAGCTTCTCTGATTATTTTTTCAACATACACATTCAATAAGTGTGGTGAGAGGATTCAGCCCTGGTGTACATTTTTCCTGATTTTAAACCATGCAGTAAAGTAGGAAGAGAAAAAATAGGTGTGAGAAAAAGCAATATATGTAAGCATTTACACTGAACTAGAAAATAAGATGTTTATTTTAGTGTTTTTTAAATTTATTTTTAATTGGGGGTTAATACATATATCATATCATTCCATAGTTCAATCACATCAAGCAGTATTGTGCAATTGCCACCACAATCAGTTTCCAAACATTCTTTTCCTTCCTGGACTCCTTGACATTGTCTCCAATTTACTTCCCCACCATACAATTCTACCCCATCCACCCACCCCTGGGAACCCTTATCCTACTTGCTGTTCCTCTAAGTTCATCAATCCTGGGTTTCATATGCTGAAAAACTTATAACACAACTTCAAGAGGGTGACCCCCAAATGACATAACACATCTGAGATAAACCCTAATATGAACAAACAAAACTCCAATACAGAAAATGTTGAAAAACACATCAGGTCCAATGTGCATCTGATGGCGCTATCAACTGGAAACGTTTTAACTGTTCGAGTCAGGTTTATCCATTTTATCTTCCATACTCATCTCTCCAATGCATTCTGCTTAGTAACCACTTTCCTCCCATCCTTCAATTATGGAAATTATGGATAGGGGGAAATCAGGGGAGGCTCATTTCCTGTGTAGTTCCCACAAATGTCTCTTGGGCTCCCACTGTCATCTATAGCCTTCTGCAAATCAGATTTTCACTATTTAGGCTCTGATACTAATCCCTCCTTCGACTCTGGATTACATGATTTACAATCCTTTGGGGACTGATAATGGTGTGCTTCTTCCATGTGTACTTAGTTGACATCTCACTTAGATGGCTGTTTGGAGACAAGTCTTTTTTTTGTTTTCAATGACATTGCAATTCAAAATTCTTCATTTATTACACAATTATTGTAGAGCAACATGAAACAAATGCAAAAAATATTAAACATGAAACATACTTGTATTCTCTTTCTGTAGAATAATAACACCCAAATGAACTACCCAAACTATAGAATTATGAGTGAAATAAGAAATAAGAAACTAATTATTTAGCTTGATTTATAGTTAGCATTAGGAGCTAGTATTATTGCTATGGTTAGCTTTATGATCTGGATTAGACTTAGAAATCATGTTAGATTAGAGTTACTATTATAGTTAGGGAGTAGACTATGACTAGGCCTAAGGATGGGTCTAGTTAACAGGTTACAATTATGATTAGGGTTAAGTTTATGGTTTAGGGTAGGGCTAGAATTTGTTCTAGTGTTAATGTTAACAGATGCTTTAAGGCTAAAATGTGAGTCTATCCTAATTTAGAGTGAAATTAGGACTTAAAGTAAGGTTAGTATTAGGGTTAGGATTAGTCTTAGGACTTGTCTAGGATAGGGCATGGTTTAATGTTAGGCTAGGGTTAAGTTTAGGTTAAAGAGCTAGGTATTACATTTAAGGTTAGTGTTAAGTGTAGGAATAAGGATTAAGTTTAGGATTTGGCTAAAGACTAGGTCTATAGTATTAGGTTTAAGTATAAGATTGGGATTGGATTTAGGCTTAGAGTCAGTTTGGGGTTTGGTTTTGGTCTATTGGGTGAGTAGGAGTTGGTGTAAGGAATGAAATAGTAGTTAGAGTTTGGTTAGGGTTAGTGATAGGTTCATTATTATATTTCTGTAACTGATTGCTCATTTCATATTTTAAAAATCATTAGCTTAAGGCATACCTATACTTATATGGCTTCATTAAGATAATAAAATCTATTCATAAATAAAATTGTATCCACATGTATATGGGTTAACATTTACAACATGGGGAGGGGGGGCATTCAGAGACATTGTCAAATTATTCTAAAAATAATTTTCATCAATAATCACTACTTCAAGTAATATATAATTGCCTATTTTCGATATCTTTACCAGCTCTATCAAACATTTAACTTTTGTTTAGCCCTTCTGTGAAAATGTTGACATAGTTTGGAATTGCATTCTTAAAATATGAGTAAGATAGACATATTTCCAATGTTTGTTGGCTGTAAGTATTAATCGTTCTATTACTTGGACAAGCTAATTCTTAAGAGGGGCCCTCAGGGGAAATAAGATTTCACAAGGGTTACCATAACTGATACTACTGTAAAGCCAGACAGCACAGATAATTTCCCAGGCAGAAAAGATATTTCTACCTAGAAAAGCAGAGAAAGAAAAGAGATAAGCAGAATAAAGATAAAAAGAAACCCACAAGGAGTCAATTCTGATTCATTATATAAAAGAAAAAAATATTACATTAAAATCTCTAGGTTCAGGCCAGAGGACACCAGGGTATATCATGTAGCATTCCAAAGGCTTCATCCTTGATGAAGTACAAGACCTGCGAGAGTTTGCGAGAATCCCGTCTTGACTAAAGATAAAATTTACAGCTTCATGGACACTTTTGTTAGAAAAAATGTATCGTTGTCATTGAACCAGTTTTCTTTATTCCTCTCATAAATCAATACGCCTCTATCCTTAGAAAGAGAACAGATGGAGTAATTGTTAGCTACTACCTCCAATAAGGATTTGTGGCCTGGGAAGTCTGCAGAAGGTGACACCAGCAAGGAGACTGACAGCAGTGCACATTGTCTTGACAGAGGTCTGGTTTGTGCTCAGAATACATAGAGATGATATGCATATACTTTTACAAGGAGAACTGGTGGTGTAGTGGGCTATACACTGGGCTGCTAACCACAAGGTCAGAGGTTTGAGCCCACAAGTGACTACTCCAGAGAAAGACGAGGCTATATGCTCCTGGAAAGATGAAGTCCTGGAAACCCAAAAGGGTGGTACCCTGACCTACAGGATTCAGGATGGACTTAGTGTCACTGAATTTGGCTTTTGGTTTAGTATCCTTACACTGAGGGGCTAAATTGGCTTTGTGCTGAATTGGACAAAACCTCACACCCGGGTTAACATAACTAACTCATTGCCATCGAGTAAACTCACTCATAACGCCCCTATAAGACAGACTAGAACTGTCCTTGTGGGCTTCCTGCAGCTGAAAATCTTTGCAGGAGTTGAAAGCCTCATGGTTGTCCAGCGGAGCAGCTGGTGCTTGCAAACTGCTGCCCTGGCTGTTAGCAGCCCAACATGTAACCCACCCAGGGGTCCTCAAATGACGGCCCGTGGACCACATGCAGCCCCCGAAGACATTTATCCATCCCGCCAGGTGTTTTCCCCCCTTTTGTTTTTTTACTTCAAAATAAGATATGTGCGGTATGCATAGGAATTTGTTCATCTTTTTTTTTTTTAAACTATAGTCTGGCCCTCCAACGGGTCTGTGGAACAGCCAACTGGCCCCCTGTATAAAAGTTTGAGGACCCCCTCAAACTTAGTGACTGCCAACCAGAGCAGACCTACCCTCTGCGTTTCAACGACTGGAAATCTTTACGGAGGCCGCTTGCCAGCCACAGCCTTCTGGGAGGAGTCCTCGAGGGCTGACGTGTCCCACACCGCACTCCTGAGACTCCTTAGATCGAAGGCACCCAAGAAGAAAAACAACACCATTTGCGGAGGGTACCAGGCGCACAACTAGCGTTTCCGGAAGTCTCGCGGGAACTCGCTGCCGGCCGGCGCCGTCCGAGCGCGGGATTTGCGGTCGTCTTTGGCAGAAGAGTAAGGGCCCGCTGGCAAGGCCCATGCACTTCCGGTGGGCGGCGCCCCCTGCTCTACGTGACGTGTCCGGCGGCGGCGAAATGGGGCTGAGTCGGGTGCGTGCAGTGTTTTTTGACTTGGACAACACGCTCATCGACACGGCAGAGGCCACCAGAAGCGCCGTGTTGGAGGTAAAATGCTGGCCTTCGCGGCCTCCCTCGGGGCTGCCCCGCGCGCTCACCAAGCCCCTTTGCCCGCTCGCACCCGCCTCCGCTCCTGTCGGGGCTGGGGGGTCTCCCACCGGGCCATCGATCGCTGCTGTAAACTGTCGGCCTGCTCTTGCTGTGCAGCCCCTGGGGACTCAGATGTCCGGAGCTTCTGCGACCGACGCCTGCTCCAGCACAACGAGTGGGGAATTGCACTGGAGCGGCCACCCCCACCCCGGTGACCAGGATTTATCATTGCCTGGCCGCGCCCAGGCAATCAAGGAAACTGGGCGCTAAGTTTCCTCCAGTGCTTTGAAAGGGCCTGGAACGATCCCATTAAAATGACCACCATGGCAGAAGCAGAGATGCTCACAAGCAGAAAAGCTGTTCCGCCACACACAGATACAACAACCGACCTGGCTCTTGGTCAGGACAGGCCTGGACCAGTCAGGAAAAGTGCCTGGCGATTAGCCTTGGTGGGGTACAGGGTCATCCAGTGGACTGATGACCACCAGGTCAACGCTTTGAAAGAAGCAGCTCTGCAGGAGAAAGTGGAGGCAGTCTACTCTCTTAAAGATGTAGTTCTAGTCTGCCCGGTAGGGTTGCTATGAGTCGGAATCCCCTTGGTGGCAGGGAGTTTGGGGTGTTTTTGTTTTGTTTTGCGTTGATATGGCTGTCTCCATCATGTAGTATTCAGTGCATTTTATAGTCGACTAAGGTAAGACAGCCCCATTTTTTGACCAAAGAAATCACCCTGGCATTGGCTTTAAATAGATTTTTGAGATACTACCCAAAAGTCTAAGCTACTCGAGGTTCCTTAATCCCTTGACCCACCCCTGCTTTTCTTCCTCTAATTCAGGCACCAGGGAGAAAACTTTGAAAAGCGAATCCTAAAAACTCCAAGTATACCGTCAGCTAGTTTTTGGCTGCCTGGATCTTGAGCCTTTCTCTTGGTACATTCCCCGCATTGAATCTTCAGAACCGTCTCTCACTTTAAAACAATAAAAAGAAAAATATCCCTTGGAACCTTTCTTCTGCTAGATGTTGCCTCTATGTAGCTTCTATTTATTCTTTAATCCATTGCAGCCTAGATTTTGACTTTGTCCAGTGAAATGGACTAACCAGGTCACTAGGCACATCCTAACATGCTGGAGGCAGTGGACTTTTTAGGTGGGTCTTAATGCCTTTACTAGTGCATGGAACATCATCGGTGGTCTTGAATGTAGTGGCACTGCCTTAACTTACATTACCTCTAATATCTGTAGTTGCCTGCTGTACAATATGTGTGCTGCACAGGTCAAGTCTAATGTGTTGCAGTTAAGTTCTTGTTTCTTTTTTGCTGGAGGCCAGGGGCTCAAATTTTAAAATCACATAGGTTTGAGTTTAAACCACAGCTCTCCTAACAAGCTGGAAGCTCCTGAACAAATTACTTGACTACTGCATCCTTTAAATCCTGATTTAAAACCTGAATAATATTAGTCCTCAGTGATCCTATCCCATGTACCAGCTGTCATCAGTTCTGACTCATAGCAACTCTGTAGGTCAGTGAACTATTCCATACGGTTTCTAAGGCTGAACATTTTCACGTTTTTGATGGTATTGCTATTTGTTCCCCCAAATATTCGGCCACCATTATTATAATCTCGTTTCCTGTCAAAGCAGATTGCCAAATTTTTCTCCCTCAGAGTGGTTGGTGGATTCAAATTGCTGACCTTTTTTTTAGTAGCCACGTACTTCAACACTGCACTGTCAGGACTCCTCTGAGCCTATCAAGTAGATTTAATAGAATGTGTCTAAAACAGCTTAATTTTCCATCAGTAAATTGTACCACATTGCACCCAGTCAAGTAATCCATTCTACTTTGGGCACATCATTTATATTACTTGCACATCCCACTTCTCTTATCTTAGGAAAAGTTGGCCTCATCTGGACTCATATTGCCTTGGTTTTCTTATTTCTAGGCTTGCTTCATCTTCCACATTCTTGCCCCAATGATTTTTCTAAATACACAGATCATACTATATTTCTCCCTGATCTTTACACCCTTACTTATATCAACATTGTATTTTGTGAAAATCTAAATCTGTCAAATGGTATTATTAATTTTTGCAACTCAAATGACTGTAACTAAATGGTAAGTTTCTTGAGACTACAATGACCATTAATTGGGCCTATTCACAAATAACATTCTAGCTTTCTTAAATTATTGTGAAGAGAGAACAGAGAAAGAAAAGGTTCAGCTACTGCTTTTGGCTTGGAGAGAAGGGGCTATAGACTATAGCTTACTATATAAATCAAGTTTAGTTCTGTTTTGTTTACGTTGTCTGGGAAATTTGTTTCTTTTCACCCTCTTCAGTCCTGTATTTCATTGGCACTACTTGCTACTCTAAGGGAGAAAGGCCTGTCGAGCTGTAAAAATTACAGCCAAGAAAACCTGCTGGGCAGATCTTCCCTTTACACGGGGTCATTTGGGCACCCAGCCACAACTCAATATGAACCTTGACTTCTCCACATCTTAAAGAGTTTCTCTGATAAAAGCACAACATATTTTTGTAAATTTGCATACTCCTGGAGATGTCAGTGAAATGAATCAAATATGCTTAATTATATATGTGTTACAAAAGGCGAGAGGGGCAATGGATTGCTATTTTAAATAAGTCAGTCAAATTAGGCCCAATTGAGGTGATATTTAAGCCAAAACTTGAGGTTTTGGACTATGGGAGTTGATCAACTGTTTGCGGGCAGTTCTATTAATGTGAGCATGTATTCTTTGTATGTGTGAGATAGGAAAATATACCAAAACATTTGCCAATACATTTCACATTTACAATTCATTGACTCTGATACATTTGTCATGCTATATCACTATTACTTGTTACCTTTTCCAAATTATTCCACCACTATTAATATAAACTCATTTCCTCCCAAACAAAAACACCCCTTCTCTCCATCCCACTCTTGGTATTCATTCACAGTCTGGTTTTTATGTATTTGTCTTTCTGAAACTGACTTATTTGCTCAGCATAAAGTTTCCAAGGTTCATCCATGTTGTAGCATACATTCGAGCTTTATTTCTCTTCATGACTATAATAAATAGTCCAGAGTATATATGAGAGGATTTCAAAAATTTCATGGGATAATTCCATTATTTTTTAATTACATTTTTCCACAAACTTTTTGAAGCCACTTTGTATATACCACATTTTGTCTATCCATCTGTTGTAGAAAGGGCCACCTAGAAAATCTGGGGGGTCTTCATTTTGCTGCTCTTTAAAAATAAGGGCAGTTCCTACCAGAAGTAGTAAGGTAATAGAGTGGCTTTAAGACAAAGAAGTAGAGCTAAGAACCTCCTAACTACCTTCTGCTCCAGAGTTGAGTTTCTGAGAACATGAATACTAAAGACATGAAATATTTAATAAATGTTATTTTCCTTTATTTAGGTGATAAAGCTTTTGCAGTCAAAATACCAGTACAAAGAAGAGGCTAAAATTATCTGTGATAAAGTTCAAGTTAAACTCAGCAAGGAATGCTTATATCCTTCCAATACATGCATTACTAATCTAAGGACCTCATATTGGGAAGAAGCTATCCAAGAAACAAACGGTGGGGCAGCCAATAGGAAGTTGGCTGAAGAATGCTATTTCCTATGGAAATCTACCTGTTTGCAGCATATGACACTGGCAGAAGACGTCAAAGCCATGCTTACTGAACTTCGAAAGGAGGTCCACCTACTTCTATTAACTAATGGCGACAGACAAACCCAGAGGGAGAAGATTGAGGCGTGTGCTTGTCAATCCTATTTTGATGCTGTTGTTGTAGGTGGAGAGCAGAAGGAGGAGAAGCCATCACCTTCCATATTTTACTACTGCTGTGATCTCCTTGGAGTACAGCCTGGAGACTGTGTGATGGTGGGTGACACACTAGAAACTGATGTACAAGGAGGCCTCAATGCAGGGTTAAAAGCAACAGTCTGGATAAATAAAAACAGAATAGTGCCGCAGAAGTCATCCCCTGTGCCGCATTACACAGTTTCTTCTGTGCTAGATTTACCTGCCGTCTTACGAAGTATTGACTGCAAAGTCAATATGTCATCTTAAAGTACCTAAAAGGCCATGATTAATCATTTTTTATCAAATTATGTAGTTTGAGCTAAGAAAAGGTCCAATTTTACTTTCCCAAAATTATGATCTCATAGTCATTATTGTCAGGGTCCTCCCAACCTTTTTAAGTTTTGATAACCAATCATTGACTGGTTTTAATACCTGAAAATCCAGATTGCATTTATGTGAGTTCTTTTTCATTAGTTCTTTTTCATGTATTCATCCTTTAGCATTTTGAGTCTTTGCAGGTAGCAAGCAGATGGCTTATAGACAGATGTGCAAACATAGACTTCATGTTCTGCCTTAAACATTGTTAGGTGTCATTGAGTTGGCTGTGACTCCTAATGGCCTCATAATAGAAAGACTTGGTACCTAGTTTGTGCCGTCTTCATAATTGTTGCTGTTTAAACACATTGTTCCTGTCGTTGTGTCAGCCCATCTTATTGCGGGGCTTATTCTCTGTCGATGACTCTCTAAGTGAGATGCCTTCTCCAGGGATGGGCTGCTTCTGATGACATGTCCGAAGCATGTGGAACTCTGCGTCCTAAGAAACCTTTATTTTCAAGGAGAAGAGCAAGAGTTTTATTGAATGTTGATATTCAAGGTGACAAGAGTGGATCCTATCTAACAAAAACTGTCTCCTCAAATGGGCTAAGAAATATTTTGACTATACTTCCTCCAAGACTGATTTGTTTTTTGGCAGTCCATGGTATATTTACCACAGTTTAAATCATTTCTTTTTTTTGGAACTCCTTTTTCATTGTCCAATTTTGCATGTATATGAACTGATTAAAAATACTATGATTTGGTCAGATGCACCTTAGTTATCAAAGTGACAAATTTGCTTGTAAGATTTTAAAGAGATCTTTAGCCACAGATTTACCCCATGCAATACAGTTTTTATTTCTTGACTGCTGCATCCATGGAAATTGATTATTGATCAAAGTAGAATAAAATCTTGATAATTTGAATTTCATCATTCATCATGATGTTTATAGGCTCAGTTATGAGAACTTTATTTTCTTTATTCTCATTTAAAAATACTTTGATATATTATAACATTATTAGAGGTTTATTAGTGTAAATGGATTGATACCGTAGAGATGTATAAACCATATTTTACCTACGTTGAATGTTTACTACTCATGAACTTAATTTTTCTATGTGATCTTTTTTTGTCTCCATGTGGTGTTTACGTGATAGATTCTTTCAGGTTAAAAAAAAATCAACACGTGCCCCTTTTCCTTGATATTTTGACATCTTTCTAAAGCTTATAGTTTCCTGGTAGTCTACATCCTATGAAAGTATATCTACCTTCCTAGCTACACAAATGAGGATAAGAGGAATAGACTGTCATGTTGATGGTAAGTACAAATCAAATGGCACAGAAAGTAATTTTTTTCCGTGGTCCCATAGGAAGGAAAGTACCTTGGTGCAATGTCATTCATATGAGAACTTTTGCTATCAGCCATTTTCAGGATATCTTAATGCTTGAGTGACTCCTCTTAGAGCTAGCATCTAACTTAGATCTGAAACTAACTCTTTTTGGGATTAGACAGCCTCATATTTCTCCCGAGGAGCAGCTGGTAGTTTTGAACTGTTGACCTTTTGGTTAGCAGTCCAATGCATAACCCATTATAGTTCATTCATTTTTCACTGATATTTAGTAATCCATAGTGTGATCCAGAATTTATCCATTCTACTTTTGATGAGAATTACCCTGCCCCACCCTCTATCCCTGGTTTAGTGGTATTATGAGTAATGCTTTTATGAACATTCATGTATATGCCTTGTGTGCAAATATTTTGCTAAAAGTAAAAGTTCTGGATCATAGAGTATGCCTAATATTGGAAATCTATGAAAGAAACTTGAAGAAAACAATTTGGTATTTCATAGACTTCCAATGTTATGCTTAAAATTTTTTAAAAACATTTATTGACTTAATTCATGTACCATATAATCCAGTGGCTTGAATTTATTAAGAAGTTATCCAAGCATCACCACAATCAAATTTAAAGAATTTTCATTTTGTACTCATTATTATTAGCTTCTCACCTCCCCCCAACCTGCCTGCCATGTCCTTAAGAAACTATTAATCTAGTTACTGTCTCCATAGATATACTTATCCTAGATTGCATATAAACAAAATCATTCAAGTTTCCCATAATCCAGTACATTCTACAGGATCCATCTGTTGTTGTTTTTTTCCTTCCCCCACAGGCCAAATAGGTGAGTTACACAGGGATGTGGTAGGAATCACCACCCCTGCATCCTTCAAGTCTGATGGTGGCACCAATCTCTGCAATCTATAGGAATGTGGTATTGCTTTTGGTTTACTATTTTCCTAGTCAATGGCAGTTCTGAAGGTGTCCATTTGGCCTTTTCTACCATAATAGCCCTTATTCCACGTTTTAGGGATCCAATATGGGGGTTTTGCCTGTTACTAAGTATGTCTGTTCCAATGATGCATTCTGGCACTGGGGGAATAACAGTAGGATGGGTTTGGGGACCCACTAGACCCATGGTGAGGAATACCTGAGCTAAAACGCCATCAATAACTTGACCTCCATATGCCCGCTCTGACTGGCAGGCTGTTGAAACATTTTGGGTCTCCTGGAATTAGTGTTAGTTCAGAGTCAGTGTCCAGTAATCCCCGAAAAGTTTGATTATTTCTTTTCTCCCAATGAACAGTCTTTCTTGTGAAAGGCCGCAGGTCCCTTCTTCAAAGGGATCTGGCCTTCAGCTCCTTGAAAGGGTTGTGGCTCTTTAAACTGGCTCAGGTTAGGGAAATGATTGAGCGGTTGTGACTATCCTGCTTTCAGCTGATCTAGCATCCTTCTGCCTGTATAGATCATGTAAATGTTTAGTAGGTTTCTCATGTATTTCACTCTTAGGGACACCATAAGTCCATACGAGACAGGTTGCTCTGATGACCATGGAAATCTTGCTATCCATTACAATAACCATGTCTACCCTGTCTCTGTTGATTCAGTGCTGAAACCTGCCCCTACCACTACAGGGCCCAGACAGCCCCATTTAGGCAAATGTCGGCGTTCACTTAGGGCAGTTCCCATTGTTAACCTTAGTGTGCATAAATTAACAATCACAGGAGTCTTCGCAGATGATGGGGCCCACTTCACAAACTTGTTCCTTATGGTTGTGGTGAAAGGTATGTCCTCGGGGCACTCCCTTTTGTGGTCGATGGGATTTTTCTATATACCCATTCCAACATACCAATTTGCCTAAGCTTTTCGAAGCCTTCGTTTATAGTGTACCAAAGTAGGTCAGATATCTCAACTTGGTCTAAATCTAGGCCATCTGGTAGCCCATGGTTGGTGAATCAACCAAAAAAGCAATTAATCCTCTCTTAACCTCTCTTGCTGAGATATTAAAAGAAGAATCTGTACTTAGGGGACCCATATCAAGAAATTCAGACTGATCTAATGTTACATTTCTTGCACCAGGATCCCACACCCTTAGTAACCATTCCCAGGGATATTCCCCAGGGTTCTGCTTGTACCTATTAGAAAACTCAAGCAAATCTTTATGAGTATAGCACACTTCTTCCAGAGTCATCATCTGAGCCTCACCTTTAGGAACTTTCTGAGACTTAATTCTAGTTAGGTCTAAAGGAAATAATGGGTGGTAGGGGTGTTTCCTGGGGGCGCTCACCAATTTCATGTAAGGCATCTCCCCTACACAATGCTACACAGGTAGTACCACCTGGCATTTCAGCTTGAACAGGTTGGTTGATCTGCTCAGGTGTAGTTGTTTTACTAATAGTGGATTAATCCCCTCAGCTGGGAGGGGTGGATCTATTGACTGGGGTGGCTCAGTGGGCTCTAGGGGCTCAATATCGTCTTCTGGATCATCAGCCCATATGTTCCCATCCCATGTGTCAGGGTCCCAATTCTTTCTGATTAACGCCCTTACTTTAATATCAGACACTGTTCTAGACCTGCAATTCAGCTGATGCTGTAATTCAGCCACTTGTATGATGAGACTCTGGATTTGTTTATTGTCAATGTCAGCTCTATTACTAGAGGAGAGAAGAGTCTCCTTTTTAGCACATACAGAAGCTTTTAGGTCAGTTATATGGCACTCGAGATGTGCTTCTGAGGTTCTGAAATTATCCCTTTCCTTGATCACATTTTCTTTTGAAAGGAGGGCCAGCCATCAGCTCCCCTATACTTCTCATCCTGATAAAATGGCTGGAAAATATCAAACAGACAATCAGCCAGAGCCTCTCCTCTCACCAGCACTTCATCTATTGGTGGTGATACTGTAGATATTAGCTTTGCGACTTCACATCATGGATAACCACCCTCTCTAGTAATGATGCCAGTCTTATCCATGCCTTTAGGAGTAGAGATAACATTATCAGTGCTGTTAAGCCTAACAAGGCTTGAGGGCCAATTTGAGAAGCCCTTATTTGTTTATGATCTTGTTTCTCTAGAACCACTCTCAGTACCAATTGTGTTAGGCAGGGTTCTCTAGAGAATCAAAACCAGAACACTTAGGATTATATATACAGTGAACCCTTGTTTATTGCGGTTAATCGGTTCTAGACCCTACCGTGATAAATGAAATTCCGCGAAGTAGGATTCCTTATTTGTAAATCAAATATTTTCGTAGTTAGAGCATAGAGGACATGAAAAAACACCCTTTAGTCACCATTACACTCGTATTACCCAATTTATTAAACGAAAAAGGGAAAATACAGTAAAACATTTTGGACATTACAATTATCTTTTTTTTTCATTTATTATTTATTATATTATGAAGTACAACGGATGGAGCGAACGGAAGACTCATTCAAGTTGAAATGGCGTGCAACCTCCACGATTTTCTTGCCATCTTTGATCATATCCAAAAGTTTTACCTTTTCCTGGATGGTGAGCATCTTCCTCTGGCGCTTATTTTTATTGTCAGAAGGCTTAGAAGAAGCAGCTCGTGCCTCTGGGTCAAAAGGTAGAGAAAGGTCTTAAATACTGAGTGGTGTGATTTGATTGTGATTACCAAAGAAAAATTGGTATTAATAATGATAAAGAATATGTCTGGAACCCAAGAGATTCCTTAAGTTGTGTCTTAGCACTACCATGTACTGTAATTATAATCGATGGTAAACTACAGCAACTAAATTCTAACATGATTACTAATGGCCCAGAATCTTCAGGAATGAATATTTGAGTCACCCCATCAAGCAAAGAACCATGACTAGCTGGGCGATTGCTGAAAGCAAAGAGAATACAGAATAGGTGGTGGAAGAGGGTAGTTCTAAATACCAGCTATGGCCACATGACCAATTGCAGAAATGAAGATTGTATTATTATTAATATACTCTCTTTATATGTATACATCAAATATTTTTGTTCACTTTCAAAATATAAGATGTAAATGGGGTTAGTGTGTTTTCAGTTGTATGCATGTTAGTTGTATTGTGTTAGGTACAAGTACAACTTTATCATCATCTTCTCTTGGAGATTATTCATGGTTTAAAGAGATATGTACAGATCCAAAGTTGATAAGAGATGGACTGTGATAGTCAGCTCAGTGTGAACTTGCCTTGATGATTGCAACTTGGCGGCCTTGGATTTTCTTTACAATCCTTGGATCATGCAGTTTGTTGTGCTCCTTCTATGTGGATTTAGCTGAAACCTCACTTAGATGGCTGCTTGTTTTAAGACATTTGTAAGAGCCCAGATGCTATTCTTTGTGATAGTCAGGCACCAACTGGTTT